CCCTCCTCCTGCCGGGAGATCCTCCAGCTGGCTGCAACGTCTCCTCAGATCTCTACTCTGGATCAGTGGAACTGACAACAACCCTGTCAATGAGCACTGTGACATGGAGAGGAGCTGCAATAAGGTGTAGCTAGCTGGATTGAGGGTGGCCTCTATCAACATGACCAGCACTAACAGTACTCTGTCTCATCTGGTCTGAAGACCTCACCACGTCCTCGTAGACGTGTGCTAGAGGACATTGATGGTGGTGGATGCTCTTCGGTGCCCTGTCAGTAAAGGGAATAGAGTACTCTCAGTGTGTGGCAAGATCATTGGATACCCAGGGGATCTCCAGATGCATTCAGACCAACCATTCGAAATATTGATTCCAATTATGTCGATGTATCAGTTTAACTCATGGAAACAGTCTCGTAAACAACATTTGGACATTCGCTGCTGCTCTTCATGAGTACAATATCTCATACAGATATGTATGCCCTTGCACTACACACTCGCAACACTCCACCTCCTTCAGTACCATGGCTTTATCGGAAATGACTACTTCTGTGACACTGGCAGTGAGAATAGAGTCCAGACATCTTCTATGGAGACGATCCTCTCTGGGATGGTGCGGGATGTGGTCATTCAACGCATGCTGTTCTCGGACTCTCCACCATGTTCAGGAAGAGATCTCTCCTCCAACCAGTGATGACATCGAGATGAGGCTGTGTACTGACTCTATTCGTAGTGGTGAAGACATTAACTTGAGGTCTTGGAGATCTATGTGCCAGTAAATAATGTTCCAGTATGATATTCATAAGTTATTGGCAAGCAAAAGTCATTGTGCTGTTTGTTGGTTCACATGTAAACAGTTGAAAAATCATTTCTTCAAATGAAGGTGTGGATATAGGATGGCTCAAAGCAGGGAAGAAACAAGGGGTCATTACAGCAAAGATACATACAGGCTAATGAAGGTGATATAGGGATGGCGTCAAAGCAGGAAGAAACAACGGGGTCATTACAGCAAGATACATACAAAAGGCTAAATGAAGGTGGATATAGGATGGCTCAAAGCAGGACAAACAAGTGGTCATTACATACATACACAAGGCTACATGACACAATCCATAACTTTGATATTCTTTGCGAACAAAGATAGTAGGGATGTTGTCATGTAGCTTGTGTATCTTGGCTGTGCCAATGACCATTGTTTCTTCCTGCTTTCAAGCCATCCCTATACTCCCCCTGCATTTTGATACTTGTATACTGGTACACAGGTGTGTGTGGAGCTACACACGCAGTTTTTGTGTAACTACGCAAGTAGTGTTGTAGTTTTTGGATGCCCTTTTCTGACTTGTATGCAAGTCCATTTGGTTGAAGCCACTGGTGTAGCTAATTGAGGTGTCTGGGAGATACACATGGACTCATGTATGGTGTAACCAAGTGGCTGTGTGGTGTGGTAAACGATGCAACCTGGCCACAACCCTATATGAGGCCACTGAAAGGGTATGTTTTTTAAGTAGAATAAAAGGTCTAACTACTCACACAAATTGCAACCTCATTCTCGTCACACTAGGCTATCGCAAAGAGCACTGAGACAAGTTGTTGAAGCTACGCACGTAAAGCTCAGTATGTCGGCTCAACGCAAGCGCTGGTATTACTAGCTAGTTGGTCAATGATACTGTATACGTTGGTCATTGTGGCTGTATACCATTCGTCCTAGCTGTCTTCTGAGAGCTGGGACAGTACTACGTATGCCATCTTCCACGGAAACTATGTCACATGTGTCTCATTCTCTCATGTTGTAACTCTCAGCTGCTGGGCTGGCTGTTATACTTTAGTTTGGTTAGCACCGTAACCTGTTTACGTAAAAATACCAAAGGGGTGTGTTTGCAGAATTGAAGTAGTCTGTAGAATGAAGGTCTAGAACGTTCTGTAGAATATTGTAGAGTGGAAGTGAGTGGAATTTCGTGGAAATGTCCATAGCAATGTGATGGCCCTTATGGGCTTCCGTACCAAGATTGTGAACAAACTGTTTGATTAACTTGCACTTGGCTGGATCATGTGTATTGTAATACACAAAGACTAAATTGAGATATTGCGCTACGGGCCAATTGCAAGAATGTTGCAAATATTTTGCATACTAGACAAACACTCCCAAAGTGTTATCATTATAAATCTTCAAACTTTAGCATAATTGATTTTCAATGGCATGGTAAGGGAATAAATACTATATTGTATACTCAACTGTTATGTTAAAAGTATGTATCTCCATTGGCTTCAGTTCCACAATGAAGGGTGACTTCATCTTAGCTTCTGCTGATTGGTACCTTCCTTTAGCTCCTATTGCGATTTCAATATCACAACAATTCCAATGTTAACTAATTTGGCAAGCAAAGTCAGCCTGCCTAGTCGTCTGAATGCTGTTTCTTTATTTTTTTTATGTATGCAACATACAACTGGCATTTTAAATTCCATAAAGCCATTTTTGATTTGAAAAAGTGAACCACTCACTACTGTATATATACTACATACTCATGCAGAGCTGATGGCCTACACATCAAGTCAAGTGTGCCTCACCGTGTGATTCAGTGTTCCAGTGAAGACGGTGTATGTCAGAGAGAGCAGCATTAGCTCCCAGTCCCAACTCAACCACATCTACCACCTTCATTGTCGTGAACAGATCCTGCCAGAATGAAAACAGGCAAACCCTTCATAGTGATTCTATGCAAAATGCATGCACGCAATGCGTAACTCTTATTGGCTCTTTATAAACGTTTAACTGCTTATTTACATGCCAAACACCCAAGTAACAGCTGTCAGAACATTCCCAGGGTGTTATATAAGCCTACCCCCAACGCCCCTTGGTTAAACACACTTCACAAGCAAAGAGAATGAAGGTACTGTACACCCTCGTGTTGTGTAAAGAGTAACTAGGTTAACCAGGCCATTAACCACATACATCTACCATTGCATAATTATAATAATAGCACAGTCAGAGGTTTGCTGACATGTAGCAAAACACCTTTAAAACAAACCATTTTCAAAAGCACTGCTCTTAACAACCCTACTTAACATCTGTAAATCGTTGAGCCAATTATGGCAAAGAAGCACACTTTCAAAGTCGAGGAATTTGATGAAGTCGAGAGAGGAATTCCCACCCGCTAGCATTTTTGGCGTAATAAAGGAAGGAAACAAAACTATCTTGAGGGAACAGTTACTGATGGCAGCAGTAAACTTAGGCTGGTTGGGTTCAATTCAAAGCAGCAAAAGCTAATGTCTGAGATGCTGCAAAAGAAACGAACGATTGAATTAGAAAAAACCATCCAGACGAGGTGACAAGATGGAAATGTTGTTGATGGGTGACAGCAGGATAAACTAAGAAGACAGATGTTTCCGAGGTGGATTTCAAAGACAATAATCTAGATGACATAATGCTGGATGCACTGTAATTTAGAGTTTACTAAGGTTACTTTAAGTGTCAAGGTGCAGAAGGTACGTAACAGATCCTGAATTGTACGAATGGGAAAGAGGTTAACGTAGCTGACCATAGCTGAGCAGTAAAAGTAATGCTTTGGGATGAACATGTTGGAAACTTTGTGAGCATCTTTGTACTGACTGAAGAATTTCGTTTCAAGAGAGTGGGGAGGGATAAAATAAATATCTGACTATGGGAGGAGAATCAAAAATGGTACAAATGAACGACATGGAGTACGTGAAAATCCCAGCTAATAGTTTTGAAAGAAGTGAAAGTTGTGGCTGTTGCGTCGCAGGGTAAGAGGAGTTTAGCCAGCTGATGAGTCAAATGGGAGATGCTCAAAGGCATGCTACAAAGGATGGAATTATACACTAGCCATGTTTGTGCAAAATTGATGCTGATGGTGGATGCAACATTTATTAACTCCTTCACAACCTGGCTAATGTAAAATAAAATTGTGAAATCAACGAGGAAGCTGTACTTTGCATACATGCAGACACTGAAGGAACCGATTTTATAGCTGGAAAATGTCTCTGTGTATAGCTCAGCAACGAAGCATTAAAAAAAAAATCCCACATTCTTTGATCTTCACAGACACACACACACACACGCACACACAAAGCACCGTTGTTGTCATAGTGCCATACAGACACATTTGCTAATATTGTGGTAATGAGTACATTTCTGGGGTCTCGGCACTCCAAACGATAACACAGGTGTCCTAAGTGAGAACGGAAATCTCACGTGGAACAAAAGGGTAAAAGCTCGCTCGATTTTGATTTTGTATGACTTAAGAGGAAGTGCTACCAATTGTATAATTTAACACCCCTCCCCGAGCATGGTAGTGAGTCCTCTGTCTGTGTGCGTCTGTCCACTCTTATTCTGGCGCTACAGGCTACGAGGCGGCCTATTCTTAACGGACACCAGCGGCTTATGTACTACGAGGATGTAAAAGACAATCATCCTGAAACAACTGCGATTAAGAGTTTTGGTGTGAAAAACGAGCCAAAACGGCAGTACACATAATCAGCACTGCTTCTGTGATAAGACACTACATTAGGCTGAAATGTGTGTGGTAAAATATTATAACTCACAGCTAACTGGACAGTGACAGTGTTATTGTAAGGTTGTTCGTTGCTCTGGAACTGATGCTCCAGTCTCAGGAGATGGTGGGTGTGGTCTAGTCTCTCCAGTGTCAGGAGGTGGACATTAGGTGGGAGGTCTCTCGCCAGTCCAGAGTACTGGGGAGACAGAGAGGAAACGAGATCACTGTGTGTGGCTATTCCTTGTAAGAAGAATAGTGGTTATGTCTGTAGCATATTCTGCCTCAAGGACTAGCATGTGAAAGTAAAAACTAACGGATGGTCCATATATCACATTATGTTGTTTGCTGTTGACTTATTTCCTTCAGTGATCACTTTTTACACTACTTGTCCCTCAGTATGGCCCTATAATATTGTACACCTAACAAGTCTCACGAAGTCACACCATGTTATGCTTTAGCCACTGGCTTCTGAATTTGGAATGGAATTGGATTAGAATAGTTTCGGACCAGTCTGCTGCTTATGTCATAACGGACAAGCACACAAGCCATGATAAGTATAGGACCAGGACAAGCAACCAAACACTCTCTCCCCCATGAACAGTGAACGGTGAATGTATGGCTCTTGGGCACGCCGATACTACAGTAAATACACTTACTGAACCTCCAAGTGGCTAGGCTATGTGTCGACGCAAGAATAAATCAGTAGGCAAAAACTTCCTCACTCACCTGGGTTGGAAACTTGGCCATCCATTCACTAGGACTCACAGGGAATGTAGATATGAAGGGCTGGGATTTCAGCAGGAGTTTTTCACCTGTGAACATCACAACCTACGTATGCTCAAACACATTTCTACTGCACTACTGGGCAGCCTAAACATTCCATGCTATAAAGTCAGATACATTTCATCATATCTCTTACATACTAGTATATATAGATATTCCTACCATTGTGCGTCAGCTAAAGCATGTAGAGATAGTCTGTTTGTGTATGCATGAACCCCTTAGAAGTCCCCTCTTTAACATCTAATATTGGACTTTCTCACGACTGAGAAAGTCCAATGCATAATTAATACAGCTAGACTTTAGTAATCACCGCGGCAATGTGTCGATCGCTACGTTCATAGACCCCTCTCTTCCTAAGTGAAGGCTGTTCAGTGGACACGTTTACATGTACATAATGAAAAGCACTAAAGTGCAAACCCTCGGTGAACTGTGCATGCGCGATACAGCTAATTGATGGGCTGGGCTATTAGTATGCGTTTACTCGTGTCTCCCACTGGTAGCTCGCGGAGAGTCTGACACAGGCTGCTACAGCAGTAGATACCACGCGGGAGTCGATACACGACCTTCGTTGTGACTTCTTGTGCCTTCAAGATACAGAGAGAGAGTGAACCCGCTGGAGGAATGCCTGTTCCAATTAGCATATTGGTTTTTTCGCTCGTGTTTCATGCTGTAACTCTCCAACACAGCAGTTTCAGCAAAACCCCACAACCGCCATACTCTTGACCTATACCCGATGCTGAATACCTGGTACTGTTTGTGGAGTGATTCATGGCTCGTGAAGTAAGATGTCGGGGTAACAGACAGACAGACAGACACACACGACAACTACAGTAACCCTCGCTGCACATGCCAAGCCGATCCCATGTATAAACTCACCCAAGAGCCTGTGGCATAGAGTGGAGTTGTTGAAGTTGTCCAGAATGACATAGTGAGAGCCACGAACAATGAGACCGTCACCAAACTGCCCTGGCTCATTGAGAGCCTCGTCCAATCCCTTCCCATCATCATCAAACAATCTTCGGTGGACCTGAGGGCATGTGTGGCTCAACACTCAATAGCTCATCAGGTGAACTGTGCATTGTTTAGAACACAGCGACTATAATGCAGGGCACTCTTGAACACAGTGATTACGGTAGGTTAGAGACGGTAAGAATGGGGTTAATACACTTAATATCATACCGTTTAATAGAATATCTTATAATCATACAAACCTGAAATCCAAAACCATTTCCTATGCTTTCCCATACATTTTACTCCGTTTTATAGAATACAGATCCCGCCTATTACCATAGAAAAATTGGGCAATTTTGGTTATTGCCCGCGTATTGTCATTATTGTGCATGAGTAATTAGGCATTCTACAACTTTGGGCTGGAGTTTGTAACTCTCCATTCTCCACCTGGGTTTAATTAGCTTATGTAAACAGATAGGCTAGCTTAGCTTAGCTAACAACTGCATTGTGCGCTATCTGGGTCAAAGGTGTACATAGTATACACAGTATACACACCCGCAGTATACACAGTATACACAGTATACACACCCGCAGTATACATAGTATACACAGTATACACACCCGCAGTATACACAGTATACACAGTATACACACCCGCAGTATACATAGTATACACAGTATACACACCCGCAGTATACACAGTATACACAGTATACACACCCGCAGTATACACAGTATACACACCCGCAGTATACACAGTATACACACCTGCATTGTAGCATCATTATCATATTTTTTGGATGCACGGTGGGTATGATAATTAACCAGGACCCACTGTATATACAACAGAAGGTACGTTAATACAGTGATTAGGTAGTAACGGGGTAAATATAACAAGGTGAGAATGGGGTTTATACTACAGTCGTGGCCCCTCTCCTCGTAGAGAGCCTATAGAACTGCTGGGGTTCATTCCTGTCATTTTGTGCAAACTAATTTGTGTGTCAGTGAGGGCTACAATGTGCTGTAGTTTATCTCTGCACAATCTGGCAAAGTAATCTAACTATGTTCACACTAAACAGTGTGACTATTAACCTGCGATGAAATGAGAGCATTTGAGTGAGTACAGTTCAAGGGGAGATGATGGAGTGTTGCATAACTAACCATAAGCTCAAGTTCACCATCTTTGAGTGAAGACCCTCCCTGAGCCCTGTCTGTTAGCACAGTCAACTGTACCCCATGATCCTCATCCTGTTTAGAAAAAACCGTCTATTCATTGCATCTTCATACACACTAGCTCACTTACTCGTATGTAGATCCTGCTAGGGACTGGGTAGTAGTTCCCAGCCACTGGTTCACTGTCGTACCACTTCCAGGTTGGTCTGTAATTCCGTCTGTAGGGGAGACAAACACTATGACTTGGCCCCTTACTTGCAGTGGCTGTGTAATTCTACACATTATACACCAGCCAGAAGTCCCATGCTACATTGGAGTTATGTAAGTGTTACACAAATGAAAAGCACTAAGCCTGTAAGCCTGTGCTAATTAGCATACTGGCTTGTTCACTTGGTTATCACGCCATAACTTCCGAACGCACAATTTTTTTGGAAAATCGACATTTTAAAAATGAAGCCAGTGCAGCGCTAAACCCGTTGGTATCACTTTTTTGGCCTGTGGTGGCAGAAAACGTGGTAACAGACGGACAGACAAACCAAGTACTGTAACCCTTGCTGCGCATGCGCACCGAGGGTTAACGATTGCACACATAACCAACTGCCACGTCACTCAGAAGTGAACGTGTAGAAAAAGGAATGGAATATTGCAGTGAAAGAAATAAAAGGGTTCTGATTATACTAAGGATGAGAGAAAAAATAGTATATGGATAAAAAATGAATAGCTATTTCAGGACAATATGAGCGGCCCCGAGGGAACTGGAACTACCACTCTATCCACTGAGCTCCTGTGAAGCAGGTCTCTTCTTAACATAATGGCAACCGTAATGTGTGTGATGGTACTATACTTGCTTCAGCTAATGTCTGTGATTTTCAAAAGCTACTCTATAGTCTTACATTCTCTTTTGCATTTCTCTGCCATTAGAATCGGTGTACCATGTGGCATTAGATTTGAGATCAGTCGTAAAACGACTCACTACTTCCTTTCCCACCTTGTCCCTGTATAATAGAAACAGGAGAAAAAACTGTGATAATACACAAATCCAAGGGATAAAATCACTGCTTACTCATAAGGTATGGGTCCAATAGTGTATTCAAATATTGCAATTGGTAAATTGCTGTAGAGTTTCACTGTCTGTGTGGTAACGGTTACATTGCACTGGTTAACTACTCGGGGAGTGCACAAGGGATGAGCTACCTGATAGGCCCACGAACTCCACTGCTGTCGTACCTCTTGAACCAGTGAACCCTGCAAGAGAGCGGCCAAGGAAAGGGAGAGAGTGAGAGACTGACTCAGTGACAGGCTGGCAACATTGCGAGTAACTAGAGAGAGTTTGTAGAAACTGATAAATCCTGTGCGAGCGTTGGGTCTGATGCACATACATACCCAGGTCAACTCATTATGCAAGAAGGGGGCATGTCTGACCATAATTTATCCTTGAGCGTGTCTTAAATAGAGTTAACATGGGTTCCTAGCATATTCATACCATTTCCGAGGTAAAAATCGCTTCGTTTTACACATCAAAAAATTTGAGAGTAAGTTTTCTGCTATCCAAATTCGAGTGGTAAGCCAACCTCTAAGGGATATATGTTTTCGACCAGATATATACGTTTATTAGGACATGACACCAATTGCATTACCCCTTCTGCGCATACATGTATGCCCGCGGTAATGATGAGCAAGAGACTTACATTCACAATCGAAGTATTCACAAGGCTCAGTGGGGATATAGTGTGAGGGAGAATACCATCTGGGCTAAAGATGTAAGCCCCAGATGGCTGAACAGAAAAGTTCCCGGACTTGGCCCTCCACCACAAGAGATTCTGGTCCACTGCAACAGTGATGTTGCTATGTTTGTTGAACATTGTCTTCAGTCGGCCAGTCAGGCCACTAAAGGTCAGTTTTAAAGCCTGCCCAAATGAAGAGCAAAGTAAAATGTAAATGGGAAGACTGAAGCTTGTAGCTACCTCATATTATTGTGAACATGTATACCAATTTCTCGGTATTTTCACCGAGTTCCATTTACGGACAAACAAATGTACAACATGGAAGAGAAAAAGGCACCGGAAGGCGTGGCAGCCATTAGTGCGCGATACGAAAAAGTGCATGCAAATCACTGTATGGACTATGGACACTGTATTAGAATTGACTTGGAGACATGAATACAAAATCGTTAACCTGGTTTTCAATGCTGAAATCATCTAACTTGGGCGGTACAAACACTTTACTCAGTTCCGAGGCATACTTTCCTCGGCTGTGTTTAGGTTGAATGAAGAACACTGCTCCACCGAGGCCAGGGAGATTGGCAGACCAGACCAGGTTATGTGTGGCGTTACCACGATAGCGGCGGACACTTTTGGTTGCAGAGGAAACTGGAACCACCTGTAAACACAACAACGACTCTAATAATATTGCAATACAGGATTGTAAAGTGGTGGTAGTACCTGTGAAGGGATTGGGTGTGCTGAAGAGTCTAAAACCTCAAAATCTGTACCAAAGACTGGAAAGCTCAACACTTCAGTTGAAGCTCTGCCGATTGGGTTGTGAACCATCACAGAGAACTGAAATACCAACGAGAACACAAAATTGACGAAACCACCTTCAAACATTGTCAGAGTAGGGCGTGTAAGTGCTGGCAGGTGGATAGGTTTCTTCACCCGCTTACCTAAGACTAATTAATCTGCACATCTCAGTCCCAAACTAACGCCTGGGTTAAAGTAAGGCTCAGGGGTTCTATCTTGATTGATTGGCACACTGAATCTATGCCGTGCACGCGTTTTTCTACACGGCATCAGGGCTACTAACAACATTGATGCGATCATTTGAACAGCAGAACTCACATTATTGGTCTCTGTGGGTGGACACACTGATATATTGAGGTACTCACAGAACTTAAACACTGGCGAGGTGCCATTCTTAAAATGTGATAGGTACAATCTCAATCCATCATTCATCAAACCCTAGACAAAGTAAGTAATTATATTTACAAATAAATGGTGGTCATTTTGTACTTGGCACTGGGTTTGTCCAACATGAAGCCTCTTAGCATAGTCATCAGCCACAGTTTGTCTCTCAGTGCCCCTGAAATGTTGGACAATAGTATCACATTACATGCAATTTCACATCCAAAAACAACCTTGCTTTTACACATACTGATGTACGAGATGCTAACTGATGGAAAGCAGTGGTTAAAATAGAGAAGACAGGCACACTGACTGACTGACAGACAGACGGACGGACAGAAAGACGGACGGATGGACGGACGGACGGACAGACAGACAGACAGACAGACAGACAGGCAGGCAGGCAGGCAGGCAGGCAGGCAGGCAGGCAGGCAGGCAGGCAGGCAGGCAGACAGACAGACAGGCAGACAGGCAGGCAGATAGACACACAGACACACAGACAGAATAAATGAATGTCCACAACTAAATGCACACCGCCCCTGTTCATAAACTGAACTACAAGGTACACACTAACTATTCAAAGTACAGTTTGACTGGTTATTGTACATCATCTTGCTCACGTTATAGCATCATGGTGTTCGTTCAGTGCAACTGCCAGTTTGAGGTAAGTGGAGGAGAAATTGGTGTATTTCCAGAGTCCCAGGCCTTCATCTAGTACCTCGAACTGCTTTACACGACTGTAGAAGACTGTTCATTTCCCTTCCGTATGCCTTCAGTCCTGGTCTACTGCTGTAATAACCTGAGAACAAGACAATGTTATGGAGTGCATTGTGTTGGATGTAGAGTACCTACCTGTCCAATATGAGAAAGGGTTGTCAGAGTACGGAAAGAAATCATCAGTTTTCAGAGTCCATGTTTTGTTCAACTTGTTGATAGCATCAACATACCGAGATGGAGTTGAATAGAAGACCTCCAATTGATCACTCTGTGAGGGAGCAATTATCGTTACGCTATCCTATGTTTGTTCTAGACCTTGCAAAACAGCAGGGAGAAACCTCACGTAGGTTTGCAGAATGCAGAATATGCAAACAAAGTCAAAGGCAAGCAAGTCAACTTCACCCAGGACAACTCTTTTTCCAAGGAAAAGAGAGCTGCCCTAGGTGGGATCAAACCACGACACTCTGCAGTCTAGTCAAGCACTCTATCATCTGAGGTAACAGGGCAACTCAGCTGGCAGAGGTTCATGTGTATGAGTACTGAATCACAACATACAGGATCAAGATACTAGTGGGGTACGTATTCTGTCCAGTGTTGCCCTAAACACTACCTTCTGATGCAACTAGAGCTAGAAACT